CGCAGTGCATATGTTTTCATACTATTTACACATAAAAATGCCAGGGGAGGGAGGTATACTACCGTGCTATTTACACAGAAGATACCGGAGTATCTTTTCAAAAAAAAATCCCTACGGTCAAAGTTACCATGGTGCTTCTACCTCAGTTATCAGATGTGCGCTGCGTATATTACCATCTATTTACACATAAATTATCAGGTATCTTTTCACATTTGTTTTTCCCAATGGTTAAAGTTACCACGATGTTTGTATCTAAACTATCAGGTCTATGGCGTGAATGTTATCGTGCTATTTACAGAAATTACCAGGGGGCGGGTTCAACAAATTTATTTCCAATGATCAAAGTTACCATGATGCTTGAAACAAAAAAGTTTTCCAGTGCTAACATATTAAAGGCAAAAACATGTCAAAAACAGTATTTCCCTTAGAATCAACAATGAGTGTCATAGATGAGGTGGTTAGCTCCCTTTCTTAATTACCTGCAGACCAGAGATCAAATCCTAGTTTAAGCATTATTTTTGCTGAAAATCGAGAAGGCATGTGGGGACATAAATGACGATTACGAAAATTAGGAAGGCACGAGCGGGTGTGCCCGATAAAATCGGGGAGGACGTGCGGGAAAGAAAAGAAATCGGGAGGTCGTGCGTAAAAGGAAGGAAATCGGGAGAGAATTGATGGCGTTGGATGCGTGTGGCAGTTTCACAATCTGCCACACGGTTGCCATATTATATATATATATATATATATATATATATATATATATATATATATATATCATTAACATGGTGCTAGATACATCTATTTGAGAGACAACCTTTTTCAAACGAAATGAGTATTTGTTACAGGGTTAAGCCATAGGTTAGAGCATCTCTAATAGATGGTCCAAATTTTGGCGGTCCAAAACCGGAGATGTAAAATTTGGACCGTCAAAAAGTGCGTTTGAGCTCCGAAAAAAGCTCAACTCCAACAGATGGTTCAAAAGAGCAACTCCAATAGATGGTCCAAAATGAAGATGTAAAACGACATACTACTAGTCCATTCAACATAGTTCAAACATCAAATTCAACATAGTTTCATACATCAACTTCAACTACTACTTATTCAAACTACTAGATAAACTACTCCTCATCGGAGCTACGGAACTGCTCCCAGAACTCCTCCTTCGTCGGGTCGTCGCACCCCTCCTCCTCCTCCGAGAAGTCTGCCCAGTCCTCCTTGGAAGAGGACTCGATGGGGATCACCGTCGAGGGACCGACCTCATCCTCCTTCTTCGGCCCCTTCTTCTTCTGCTCCACCTCACGCTTCCAGTAGTACTCCATCTCGGCCTAGACGTACTCCGGATGCTCCCGAGCAAACCTCGCCATCGCCTCCTCATCGGTCTCGCCAGCACTGATGACAACCGACGGCTTCTTCGTCTTCTTCTTCTTCGTCGTGATCTCCTTCATGTTGATGCCCTGCGGCACAAGCATCTCCGCTTCCGCCCGACTCTCGATCTCTAGAAAGTTGAGGTGCGACCGAGGCCTCTCGGCATGCCACACCGCCACGTCGTAGGCACGTGCGGCCTCATGGGCGGAGGGGTACGTACCGATCCACCAACGCCTTCCGACGTCGGTGAACTCCTTGTTGGGGAACGTAGTAATTTCAAAAAATTTCCTACGCACACGCAAGATCATGGTGATGCATAGCAACGAGAGGGGAGAGTGTGATCTACGTACCCTTGTAGATCGACAACGGAAGCGTTTGGTTGATGTAGTCGTACGTCTCCACGGCCCGACCGATCAAGCACCGAAACTACGGCACCTCCGAGTTTTAGCACACGTTCAGCTCGATGACGATCCCCGGACTCCGATCCAGCAAAGTGTCGGGGAAGAGTTCCGTCAGCACGACGGCGTGGTGACGATCTTGATGTACTACTGTCGCAGGGCTTCGCCTAAGCACCACTATAATATTATCGAGGACTATGGTGGCAGGGGGCGCCGCACACGGCTAAGAATATGATCATGTGGATCAACTTGTCTTTCTCTGGGGTGCCCCTGCCTCCGTATATAAAGGCTCAAGGGGGGGGGGGGTGCGGCCGGCCAAGAGGTGGCGCGCCAGGAG